AGGAACTTGATATAATAGGTAATGACGCAGTAATCTAGTTGTGGTGGCTGATACTTTAATATCCGACTAACGGTCGTCCGACATCGACTGACCGACCAACTCCCTGCCGACTGCTACTACTACTCCTACTTATTATAGGTGGGAGAGTCTATTAACTATAGAATAGGTGTGTTCCATTATAACAATTATATATATATATATATATCATCTCATCCCAAGTAAGGCGATAATACCACTGACGCAAAAGGTTACTGGGAGTGAAACAGAATGAGAAGTCTTTAGAAGGAATCGGAAACAATCCCATTGCTATTATTTTTTTTTGGTTCATATAACATCCATGTCGATAACCATTACGCTACAAGCACACGATTTACTTTTAAAAAAATGTCTTCTGCTAACCGATTTTAATCATTTCACCTCAAGCAAGGTGCTAATGCCACTAAGACGCAAGAGGATACTGGTAGCGAAAGAGAATGAACAAATTTAGAAGCAATCGGAAACCCAATCCTAAACAGAAAAAGAATAAATCTCTATTCCTGTTCAATAGACGTGGGAGGCGTGTGAACCGTGTGATAGACGAACCTTTATAGAGATATTCTTGTCAGAAGTATACTTAGTAGAACGTGTACATTTTCTCGCCCCTTCACGCTGGAATTTCAAAGAGTCCCCTTTTCACGATTAAAACTACATAATTATAATGCTATCAAATGAAAGTCATCTGTGACAGTTCTACGTTTACATATTATTTATAACAATGTTTTTAATTCTTTTACCTCCAAGCCAGGTGATAATGCCACTACGATACAAGGGGTTACTGGGATTGAAAGAGAGTGAAAAGACTTTAGAAGGAACGGGAAACCCAATCCTAAACAGGAATCAAAGGATAAACCTCTGTTTAATAACTAAAAAAAAACACTAAACTAATCGAGTTTCTTTTTTCTGGGTTTTAAGATAAGACGTTTAGCCCTCCTGACACCATTTGTCGTAAGAATCACTACTAAAACCTTTGAGTTATTCCGCTAGATAGAGAACAGGTTAAAATCGATTTGTGTCAAACCCACTGTCTTCGCAAATGAGCATTGGTGAGAGGAAAAAGACCATTCAGACCTTCAGTAATGGTACTAACATTCATACTCTGGATTCCATCTTCCCAGTCCATTCAAGGACCATCAAAAGAACGGTGAATGTTTAGAAAAGGGGGAACAGTAGCGAGGAAAAATGGACCAGGAAGTCACAATAGGAAGAGGGATCATCATTTCAACTTAGAGCTAAACAGATCACTTAGAAAAGACCCAACTTAATTCATGAGACGTTTGGCACGTGAGAGAGGAGTTTCAGCTATGACAGTCTAAAGAGCAGGGAAGAAAAGACTTGAAAATGAAGTCGTACGTAAAACACGTGAAGCACCTTGTTACTCCAGGACAGAAATTTAGAAGATTAAAGAAGGCGAAGATCATTTTGAAAAAAACATCAAAATGATCCTGGAATAAGATTATATATATATATATATATATATATATATATATATATATATATATATATATATTTGAACTTTATTTCAATATTTACTGAGCGTCTGATACTTAGTTATGATTAGTTAATGATGGACATGCCATTTTTGTTTATGATCGATTTCGTCACGATTCTTCTGTTAAGCTTTCAGAGCAATTATACATTCTTATTGCTCAAAGTAGCGTCCGATGGTGTTATAAAAACCTCGGAGAATTCCAGTAAGATATCTTTAATCATTTCTAAGATACAATCTAACAATTGAACAATTTTTGCTTTTAGACGATTTCGACAATTTTGCAGCTACACCCGGTATATATATATATATATATATATATATATATATATATATATACCTGTTAGCGTCCATATATGTCTATTTGCATCGGCATGATGAAAAATTGTACTCATTGACTGACATGAATAACCATGAGGACTGAAAAGATCTTAGAAGTTTCACGCATTCTCCATCAGCGCTTTGACGAAGCAAAGCTGAATGGTATTAAACTTGACACTCGAAGCAACTCTTTTTCCGTCTGTAGGAGATAGAAACATGTGCTAATTTTGTCTGCTCTGTCTTGAGATGCGACGCCCATTCACACCGCTCGTTGCTCGGGCTGTAATTTAACTCGCTTTGTCGTCTGGATATTTTTGGACAGATTCATTGTTACGGATGGGTCTTCATCTGGATGTTTGTAATTGGACTTCTATTGAATCGCTACTTTTACTAATTGCACACATGAAAGTTGTCCAGTCAAAGACAACGTGCCATTTTTACTTTAGAGAGGAATGACTTCTAAGAACGTCATGTAAAAAAAAGAAGAAAAAACGAAAAAACAAAAAAACAAAACAAAACATTATATTACATATATTTGTGAATGCACAAAATTACGCGCAGACAAGATATTTTTAAAAAAAATTGTCTTTTCAAGATGTAGGTTGTACATAAATATCTTTTCTTTCTTATATATAAATTGCCATGACTATGTTTTTTTTTCTTCAGAATTAATGTTCTGGGGGTAATATTAACCGTTTCCTTACAAGGAAACATTTGCCATTCATTGACTGAGTAGTTTTGCCTTCGGTTGAAATTTATAAAATCTTTCTCTCAAAACAATTTTTCAGGGAAATAGTTTTCTCAAGTTTAGTAGCTGTTATCGCTCTTTTCAAACTCAAAATAGCCTTGTTAGATCGAGACTTTCATATGGATGTCATATATAGCGCCAAACACGTTCAGAAATATCTAAATTCTCAGCTCTATATAACCGCTTTCTCAGATGGTCTTATGGTAATTTACCAACGCACACAGGGACTCTCCCAGCTATAAATAGGAGCAGGTACTGCCTTTTAGAGAGGGAAGCTTCCAGGGAAGCAGTCAGCCCCAACAGTCGGACCGAAATTCTTGTTGTAACACTCGCGTTTTTGTTTGTATTACTGTTCTCATAATATATTTGTTTAACTCAATTCCTCTCTTTGTGTCTTTATTTCTGGCCCTAACAAGGTCACAGCAGATCGATAACCAAAAATGGCTTGAAGGCTATAGGTTGAAGTTCATAGACTAGCCCCCATGATTCGCAAAGCACTGTACCAAATAACAGATATCACATGACCTGAAGACTATCAACAGCAGCTACAATGGAAATGGATAGCACATGTAACTCAAGGGGAAAATAATAACATAATCAAGATTGATCTTCTACACTATTACAAACAAAAAGTTAGGGTGATTTTCTAAGCCTAGCTTAGATGTGGCACAAGGCTGAAACAATCGGAGCGGATCTAGCTTACTATTCAGTTGTAACTGATCAAGCGAGACAAGTTTGCTAATCATTACACAACGTTGATGTGCCTAAATGGTATTCTGAGCCATGTTTAGATGTGGTTATATATATATATATATATATATATATATATATATATATATATATATATATATATATATAGCCGCCTCTTAATGAAACTTACATAAAAGAGGGATTGCTACCATATATAACATTCGACATTAGCAAAATGTCATCTTCCGGGTTTTTATCTGAAAAAAATTTGTGTTTATCTGAAAATTAATTTGTGAAGTGAAAAGTCTAAACTTATTTACTGTATGATTTTGAAATATTATGATGTAACATTAAGGGCGTAGCTAAGTTAAGATGTCTATCTATTTTTTAAAAAATTATTTAAAGCTATTAGTTAAAACTTAAATATTTTTTTAACTATCTACTGTAAACATTTTAATGCATTTATGCAGTATTCGTAATTAATTTTATTAAGGGTTGGTTTCAGTGTTTTACTATATATATATATATATATATATATATATATATAATGGATTCATATAAGACGATGAATCTGAATTTAGCGTAGGTCACATTCGATTGGTTAATCACAGCAAAGGCCACAATCCTATTTTTAAAAAGTATTCTGCTTTTGAAATTAAATTAATCTTTCACTCGCCAGTAGTTTAATATCGGCCGAGGAGACATTTATGATGTCGAAACATAATTTGTATTATATAGCCATTTTTAATCTTAAAATACATGCATATATTTAATTTTAGGATATTAATATCCTAAAATTAAATATATGCATGTATTTTAAAAAGAAGAGAGAAACGGCAAACGTTTTTGGGTATACAATGGATTATATTTTGATTTCCATATTTTTGCTACACCAGTTTCCGGTCTCGCGTCCTTCTTCAGGCAAAGTGGATCTTTCCGCATATTATTAAAAGGAATAAATTTTCCTTATGTTTTTGGATATCTAACCATTGTCTCTGTGTGTGTGTGTCTCTCTCTCTCTCTCTATATATATATATATATATATATATATATATATATATATATATTAAGAAGGAAATAAATAGTTTGTGTGTTTGTGTGTATATATATATATATATATATATATATATATATATTTAAAGATTTTTTTAATGATGTTTTAATTTTGAATCTCCCGTGAAAGCCTGAAGAGCGGGAGCGAAACCGGTTGCTTCCCCCCCTTGTTGTTGATTTTTTTTTAATTATTTAATATTGTTTTAATATGTCTTGTAATATTAAATTTTATACTTTTATTTCGATCATATATAAATATATATATATATATATATATATATGAAGAAATAATGGATTTATTTTTAATCCGACATTTTATTACTTCAAAAGTTATTTTAAGTGGATAACCATGTTTGAATAGACAATACATTTTTTAAACAGTCTGTGTTACATGTATCAACCTGCGCACTCGAGAGAACATTTTCTTTATTAAATGGAACTTTATTAATTTTTTTTGTCTGGGGCGCAGATCGATAAATGTGTTGCTCACTATTTATTTTTTTTTTTAAATAAAGGTGTGTCAACTTAAAAACGCTTGAAATGATATACATATTTGCATGCATCGTCCAACATTTTGTTAGAATAACGTGATGACTTTGCATCTAAGGTCTATCTATAGTACCTTAGTTATTTCAATTTTTGATGTACAATGTGGCTATCTTCCTATATTAAGTGTCCTACGTAGATAGATAGAATATTAGACAGATACAAATTGAGAGGGAGAAACAAAGAGACGGGTTTCATATAAATAATCAAAATTTTACAAGGGGGACTAAGTGAAAACAGATAAATATGAACAAAATTGGAGAGATGGAACTTCATAAATCAAGATAAATGAAATGATATAGATTTTTTTGCGGGAAAAATGAAAGATAGGTCAGTTCAGCAATAAGTGCACAGCTTAAAAATGAAATCTATTTTACGCAACGAATATTTATTTTTTCAATATATTTTCTCTCCTTGTTAATACATATTTAGCCAAACGTTTCATCATAAATCACATAGATCGAATATTACACCAGAATCAGTTCAGATTAAAAATCATCCAATAACTGTGTTTGCCTACAGACTTACTGATATACTCACTTACATGGATAAATAGATAGATTAATCGATAGAATAAATAGAAATATAGAGATAGATAGGTAGATAGATAAGAAACAAATTGAAATAGATAAAGGACAAATTATGATACAAAGATAAGGGAAACTGAAATAGATAGATAGATAGATAGATAGATAGATAAGGGAAACTGAAATAGATAGATAGATAGATAGATAGATAGATAGATAAGGGAAACTGAAATAGATAGATAGATAGATAGATAGATAGATAGATAGATAGATAGATAGATAGATAAGGGAAACTTAGATAGATAGATAAGGGAAACTGAGATAGATAGATAGATAGATAAGGGAAACTGAGATAGATAGATAGATAGATAGATAGATAGATAGATAGATAAGGGAAACTGAGATAGATAGATAGATAGATAGATAGATAGATAGATAAGGAAAACTGAGATAGATAGATAGATAGATAGATAGATAGATAGATAGATAGATAAGGGAAACTGAAATAGATAATGGAAAATTGCAAAAGATAGATAGACAAATTAAAACCAAATTAGACAGACAGGGGACAAATTATAATAGATAGATAAGAAAAATTGAAATAGATGATAGATAATGAACAAATTGTAATAAATAGATGTGGCTAAGGAACAGATTGAGATAGATAATCAACGTGAGAAAATAGTAGATTGAGAGAAATGAATATGCATTGATCACGTCCTCCAATTTCGATTTTGTAGGCTTAGAAACGATAAGAGATATTCGCAGATAAACAAACGATCAGCATAGATAGCATATGTTAGTTATGCTAATCGGATCAATTAGTGGCAAAAAGAGATCAAAGCGCATGTCTACCGGTGTTGAGATGACCTGATTAGACAAGAACCCGCCCCGATTTCACCTTTCGGCCTGCTTTGACTTCCTCGTCACACAGAGTGTAGCGAACGAGCGAATAATTCTAAGATGCATACCAAACGTAGTGACATCACGAGAGAACGGGCAAGTTTCCTTGGAAACAGGATACAGTAGAGAACTTTAAAAAAAATCTACTAAAAATTTAACAAAAATGTCTAATTTCACTAAAGGTTATTTCTCGACCATTTTCGCGCCAATTTTCTGTCAGACTTGAAGTGGCTTTGCTGGCGAAAGTAAAATTATAATTACGAGAGGTGAGAAAAGAAAGACGAGAGAGAGAGCAGTGCAATACATAGAGAAGGGTTTATTAAACAGACTGAGAAGAAAGGGAGGAAAATGAGAAGGTGTTGGCCACCTAACTCAGTTCTGCTCACCTTTTTTCGCCTAATTACACACCTAGTCACAGTGTTCTCACCCGCCACCTCCGTTTTCATTCAGCTGTAGACACAGGACAAGTGCTGTCTCTGGCTTCGCCTATTTATAACACCAAAGCCAACTCTTCTGTTCCAGCCAGAAATATTATTATTATTATTTATTCTCACTATTTCTCTTTCACACTATTTTTTTCTATCTCTAAATACTTCGGTCGCTTCTGCTTCATTCGATAACCTTTGTAGTGGACCCCCGGGAACGGAGACGATATAAAATTGCCTGTGCGCCCCAGTAAGGCTAGTCACAAGAGACCCACTAACATTTTAAAATAAAAAGACGTGAAATCTGACAGGTCGACAAGAAGACAACAAAACGGCAAACTTACAATTAATACAAACTTTATTTACATCATATATAAAAGTAGTGTTTCGATTAAATGAAACATGAACAACGAATCAAATAAATGGTAACCGGAAGTAATAAAGGCCAGTATTGCCGAAAGTAGGGATCCGAGGTAGCCGGAAGTAGTAAGGCCAAGATTGCCGGAAGTAAGAGTGGACAGAAAAGTTTCCAACTAGCGTCCAGTTGGTAGAACAAAAATAAATGAGCTGTAACTCAATACAGAACCCGTCCAGGTCCCCTGGTTACAAAGACCAGGGTGCCTGGTTTTTGTACTCTCCCTCATGCGGGATTTACCTTGATCCCCCACTGAGCCAGGTTGTAACTCAATGTCGGTTTTTAACGTGGGGACCTGAATGTTTCCACTCAGGCCGCTGGTCATAGTTTGTCTAAGCTAGTCATAGCCGGTCATACCACCGCTACGGAACAAGACCGAGGATTCTGTTCGGGAGGCGGGGGAGAGAAGGCCTCCGACACGAAACAGACACTACAACCGCAGCATCTACTCCGACGGGAAGTTCCTGCTACCCTTACCCCCGATTTACTTGCCTCCCCCCCACACACTGAGTCAGGTTGTGACACAAGTCAGTTTTTAACGTGGAGACCTGAGTGTTTCCACTTGGGTCACTGGTCAGTGTTAGTCTAATCTAGTCATAGGGTTTTATATCTTGTCCAAGCTGGTCAGAGCTCGTCTAAGTTAGTCGTAGCCGTGATACCAACAGCGTCAGGGATGGAGCCCGTGCCAGGTAAGTAGAGATTTACTTGACCCGCCCCCCGCAACTGAGTCAGGTTGGGACACAAGGTCATTTTTAACGTGAGGACCCGAGTATTTTGACTCGGGCTGCTGATCAAAGCTGGTCATAGCTTGTCTAAGCTAGTCATAGTTTGTCTTGGCTTGTCATAGCTGGTCCAAGCTAGTCGTAGCCGTGATACCACCAGCACAGGGACAGATCCATGTGCTAGGTAAGGAGATTTACTTGACTCCCCCACTGAGTCAAGGTTGTGACACAAGGTCACTTTTTAACATGGGGACCCGAATGTTTTCAGTCGGGCTGCTGGTCCAAGCTGGTCTTAGCTGGTCAGAGCTCGTCTAAGCTTGGTCCAAGCTTGTCGTAGCCGTGATACCAGCAGCACAGGGACGGATCCGTGGGCCAGGTAAGTAGAGATTTACTTGACCTCACAAGTGAATCAGGTTATGAGAAAAGGTCAGTTTTTAACGTAGGGTCCCGAGTGTTTTCACTCGGGCCGCTGGTCCAAGCTGGTCAGAGCTGGTCTAACCTAGTCATAGCCGGTCCAATCTAGTCGTAGCCGCAGCACTCCTTCATCCTCTTGTTTCGGTTAAAATTTGCCGGGTTATATCACAAGGGAGTATAACAACAACTCCAGGGGTTGCTAAGTACTTAAAATCTAAAGAAAATGAGACCCTAGTTGCTATGGAATATAAAAAGGTATTATAGAATGTTCCCTAAGAGTATTTAAATTATGCTAGTGGTAATCAAATGACTAAAAAGAAATTAGGTTGTTTATAAATCTAAATAGAGTTGCTATTGAGGAAAGTAGGGTAATGCAATGAAGAAAAAGGGCAAGTTTCTGCAGAAATATTGCGTCCGCTATAATTATGTGAATGAAGTAATGAAGGGGCTACGATAACTTCCATACCTCTCTCTCTCTCTCTCTCTCTCTTATGTGTGCAAAATGTGGCATTTTAACGTAAGAGTAGCAGACGAACTTCATAACACCAAGTGAAACCATGAAAGTTTCGATTTCAATACCTCAGCCCATCTAGTGTTAAATGTATCGGTACATTGTTGATATTTAAAGAGCGTAGAGTAACAGTCATTCGCGCGGAAATTAGAATCAGTGAGTCGAGTTTAAAACCCTCCTTAGTCCGCTGCGTTCCGTTTCCCATTAATGTATTTGGGTAAACCCTGAATCCATCTCTTCTCGCTCGACCGCCTTCTATGGGTTAAATAACAGGAGAGACTAAGGCTTAATAGTTTGAGCCAAGAGCCAGTCAAAGAGAAATACTCGTTTGATTTCTAAACTCTGGAAAAAGCAAGGGAAATGACTACATTGCCTCTCCTAATAAATGATGGCGATTTGTAGATAAAAAAAATTAAATGAATCTGATGAAACCCATAGTCGCTTACGTCCTGAAGAGGCACTGCATTAAAAGAAAAAAATGATGATTTGCTGGATGTTTCATATTTTATAGGGACATAAAGTGAAACCAGCGACCCTAGTTCAAATCCCAGCTTTACGCTAATGGTCTGGAGAAGTGGGGTTAATCCCGCCCTTCCCCCTCCAGCTCTGGGCTATAAAGCAGCGGAAACTTGTCTCACTAACCTCGAGTGGAAGTTAAACTTAGAAGAGGAAATCTATTTTTTTTTTAAGCATTTCACCCCAAGCAAGGCGGGAAGCCACTAGGACGCAAGGGGTTACAGAAAATTTAGAGCAAGATCAGATAGGAGTGATAGAAGAAAGGATGAGGGTAGTGGATAGATTTACACTACTTACAACATTCGGACTGTTGTCCTCATCTTTATTGCCATATTCACAACGTTTCAGCCGTTGTACGCTTCTTCAGGAGAGATATAAGTTGGAATCTCGAACCGAACCCTTTATTTCGTCTACGCGTACCATACTATTTTTTCTTTCAGTTAATTCCCTTTAGTAACTCAACTCTCCAAGTTTTTTGTTCTCTCTGCTGTCGGCAGGCGTTGAATTCACAACTCGATGGGTCAAGTCACTTTTTTGGATTACTCAACAACGCTTTTATTCACCGGTCTTGTAAAGAAACCCAATATGCACAACAGCCGAAACGTTGTGAATATGGAACAGATGAAGACAACAGCCAGAACGATGTAAATAGTGTAAATGCTTACAATATCTCATCTCAGAAATCTAGACAGATGTAGAAGGAAATCTGTATTCGTAACTGTGGAGAGGGCAATAGGGAAGTATTCCATGATCTTTCTAAGAATTCGTAGCGAACCTTTTTCTCCTGATGTGAATTGGAAGGATTATATCAAGTCAATTACGATGTCTGATGCTGCTAGGAAAGTTGGTTCATTTCTTTCGTGCTAGACAATTTTCTCAACAGAATTTTACACATCTACCAGTTGTCCAGACATTGAATATTGCTGCTCTGGTCTGGCGCCTCTGATATGTAACTAGAGATTTAAAAGAAAATCCAAAGAAGAATCTCCAATGTTATCGGTCTTGACCTGACATATCAGCTTCAGTTACTTTCCCACCGCCCGAGCATAGTTGCCATGTGCCTTTTTTGTAAATATTTTTATGGCAATTGTTCTGATAATGGTAATATTAGCCGTTTTCCTGCAAGAAAACATTTGGCATTTATTGACCGAGCAGCCAGTACTGTTTTCGGTGGAAATTTATAAGATCTTTCGTTGAAAACACTTTTCTTTTAGGAAAACAAGTTTCTTGCGTCCATTAGCTTTTATCACTCCTTCCAGTATTGATGGTGGGGGGGTTTCCTTTCTAACCTTTTGTTTGAAGTGGTGTGGAATGTTACTTTCCTCTCTGGTACCTAGACCTCATGAATTTAAGTACTAGATTGGAAGCTAGGTTTCATTATTTTACTGCTGAAATTGAACCGTAAGTTCTGTACTAACAGGTTTTTCTCGCACTTATCGTCTGTGGAACACACTTCCGGTTTCTTGCTTTCCTGTCAACTACAATCAATGAAAAAATGAAATACAACGTCGATCGTCATCTTCTGTCTCTTTGATCCCTGTTCTTTTATTATCCTTTCTCCGTTCTTTTTTTTTTTTAGTTTGTTTCACTCTCAGTAAACCGCTACGTCTTAGTGGCTTTATCGCCTTGCTTGGGGTGAAATGATAAAAAATCACATATTTAAGAAATCTAAACTGTGTAGCTCAGCGATCGCCTATAATGGATATTATGCACAAACGTACATGCTGATATTTAATGCTAGAACCAGAGAGGGTCCCAAAACATAATAAAGAAATGAAATCTGGTAAGAGTTATGACATTTAAAAAGTGGGGGTTCATGGAACAAATATGGTATTTAGTGACTGCATTGTTAAACGTAATTATACAAGGACGGCAAAAAATACTGCAGCACTATAAATATATAAATTCTGCCAAATATACTTAGATAATGATTTATTCGCACTAATGCCCTTGGGAAAGGCATCACTCCATTTCTTCTCCCTGTCCACCAGTTATGTTTTAAATAGAAGGGTAGATTAGGTTCTGTAGCCCAGGATGGCAGAGAGTCTAAGAGAAAGAAAAATCTGTATTTATCGTTGAGAAGGCAACGAGAAATGACTCCACTATTTCTCTCCACCCCCTACACCAAGAAGGTAGGGTAATTAATACACACTGAAGAAAAGGGTGACTACGATCGTCTACGTCCTGAAAAGGATGACATGGCATATGATATTTGACAGTAGAACAAACGAGAGTCTATATATAACGCACTACACTGAAGTATTGCACTGTAAATATCGTATCCCAAAATATAAAGGCATCGTTTTCGATAGTGACAGTTTTCGTGTTAAGACATCGATTACTTGTTGGCATTTAACATTTGAACGGTTGACAGGCTTTATTGCTTCGAAAGGAAGAAAATGTCCATATTGATACAGTTAACAATTCAAGACAAAAAAAAGCACACTTTCCATAGAAGATGAATACTTCTCCCACAGATAATGACCCGCTTTTGACGCACGCAATTTCAGTGAAAATCGTCTTTATAAAGATCCCCGCTCTCGAGCACGAATACACTTTTTTTAAAAAAAAGAAAAGAAAAGAAAGCTACGAGCTTTATTTCTTTAACATAGATGAGCACATTAATTCTGAATTAAAAATACAAGATTAATAGGAATACATTTGCGTTCATTCTTCACGCTTAGTAATGAATAAAACTATATTTTGAATTGATTGAATAAACTTCGCCTCTTCAACTTGTGCAAGTAACTGTAATATATTCAGCGTCGTGACCCGATCAAAATGGTCATGGCTGCTGTAATCGAAGGACGAATCTCTTGTGATTCAAAGAGGACACAGCATGTCGACTTGGTCGTCTAATTATGTGGGAGATTATTACTACTATTCTCTCACATTTAACACCGAGTTTTCTTTATTAATAATGTTAATTTTGAAAGATCTATTGAAAAATTACAACTTGATCGATTGTAACAAAAGACCTCGTTTAAGAAACGCTAAAATCAATAGAGAGATATTAACATTTATGAAAAATAGATGACAAAGGTTCAATCAGTTTACAAAAATAGAGAATAAAAAACTTATGATAAATCAATAGGGATAGATAGATAGATGAGTAACCTGTTTTAGAATAAATGATTTTATAAGCATCGGGATTTACAGACAGATACAGAGAAAGAAAAATGTAATGTAACAGTATAAACGCAGTGGCGACGAAAACCTGTCCATTTTGGGAAAAAAGTATTGATTAGAGACTGACTACAGGGACACGTGATAAAGGTAATTATCCTTACCACGAAGCAAATTGATAGATAGATAGATAGATAGATGAGAAACAGAAATGAATAAAATAAAAACAGTGACGAATAAAAAAAAGAAGGGCGTGATCCGGATAGACAGGGAGATAGATATGAAAAGCAACAGACCTGTGTACTTGAGACAGAGATAGATACCTTTAGAGAGATGAACAGACTGTAATAGATAGATGGATAGATAGATAGATAATGTAAGAGAAATAAACACAAAGATAGACAAAGATGTAATACAGACAGAGAAATATGAGAGATAGACCCGAGGAGCTGGGATGGATATATATAGTTTGAGATGGAGTTGGACAGACTGCGATAGATAGATATGAACAAATCAAGAAGCAGATAGATAGATAGATAGATAGATAGATAGATAGATAGATAGAAATTGAGAGAGGTCAACAAGATAGATAGATAGATAGAAATTGAGAGAGGTCAACAAGATAGATAGATAGATAGATAGATAGAAATTGAGAGAGGTCAACAAGATAGATAGATAGAAATTGAGAGAGGTCAACAAGATAGATAGAAATTGAGAGAGGTCAACAAGATAGATAGATAGATAGAAATTAAGAGAGGTCAACAAGATAGATAGATAGATAGATAGAAATTGAGAGAGGTCAACAAGATAGATAGATAGAAATTGAGAGAGGTCAACTAGATAGATAGAAATTGAGAGAGGTCAACAAGATAGATAGAAATTGAGAGAGGTCAACAAGATAGATAGAAATTGAGAGAGGTCAACAAGATAGATAGAAATTGAGAGAGGTCAACAAGATAGATAGAAATTGAGAGAGGTCAACAAGATAGATAGATAGAAATTGAGAGAGGTCAACAAGATAGATAGATAGAAATTGAGAGAGGTCAACAAGATAGATAGATAGAAATTGAGAGAGGTCAACAAGATAGATAGATAGAAATTGAGAGAGGTCAACAAGATAGATAGATAGATAGATAGAAATTAAGAGAGGTCAACAAGATAGATAGATAGATAGATAGATAGAAATTGAGAGAGGTCAACAAGATAGATAGATAGATAGAAATTGAGAGAGGTCAACAAGATAGATAATGAACAAATCCAGAAGCAGGTAGGCAAGCAGGCAAATACATAGATAGAAATTGAGTGGGATGAACAAAATGGATAGATAGATATGAACAAACTAAGGAGCAGGCAGGCAGATAGATACAAAGTTGAATACACATTTGACGATACAAAGAACAATACGACCCGATTGAGACATGGATAAGAAAAAATGCATGCAAACAGCAACAGGAAAGCTAGCGAGCGAGATACATAAATATAAACAAACATATTATATATATATATATATATATATATATATATATATAAAGATATACATGGATAATAACATATTCATGAAGAAGATGAGAGATACGATTAATATGAAAATGAACTGTATATATACAGCGATATAAATATCTGCACTTAAACAAAGACACCTCGCTGGCTCGTGAGATATATAGGAATAGATAAATAAGATACGAGCAGGCTGTGATAGATTGGAGAAGGCACTGATAGATCGGAGCAGACATGGATATATATATATATATATATATATATATATATATATATATAAGAGAGAGAGAGAGATGAACGCAGAAGAGGGAGAAATAAATATATATTGAATAGACGTGGGGTGCAAATAGACAACGGAGTTAGTCGCGTGTCCAGAAAATATGCTGGGGTAGGCAAATAACATTGTTAGTCTCGTAGACGAAATGAATAATTTTAATTTATTCAATATATGAATGGGACCTACCATCTGTTGTTAACTGGGGCAAGGAATGGATTGTTACTTTTAACTTCTCTAGAACGAAACTACTCTCTTTTAATCGTCTGAGAGAACCGTCTTTTAATTTGCATCAGCACGGCTTATATTAACCTCCAGGTGAGCGACTTGTTGAGCCTTCTCGGTCTAAAGTTTTCTGCCGACAAGACGTGAAAGGAATATACTGAATCCATTGCTAGGTTTGCAGCTAGGAAAGTTGGTTCACTGTGTCGTGTCAGGATATATCTTACATATTTATAAATCTACTATTCGGCCATGTTTTGAATATTTCTGCAACATATGGTCTGGTTCACCTGCTATATATTTAGAGATCCATGATAAAATCCAAAGAAGAATCTGCAATGTCCCTGGTTCTGACCTAGAATCTCGATTCCAGTCACTTTCTGTTGGAACCTAGGGAAGGTTACGGAAGATTGGTAATGAACGATAATACTTAGGACAAGAACAAAACGTATAGGATTCGCCAGCGGCGCGTAGAAGTAGTCAACTACTAGCAATGAGTCAAGTGAATTCCACAATGAACCAATTGCAGGTTATCTACCAACCGCTCCACGCGGTCAGATGTGGCACAAGGCCGAATTTAATGTGGGTTATCCGAGCCCGTATGCTCGACCAAAAATTCTCCGTAAACCCCGTATAAAACGGGGTCTGGTAGCTGTTTCCCGGGACGAAACTCTGCCCTTCGACATAGCCTCGTCTGTGGATCCTCTCTGCCCGGAGGCAGAGATTTCGACCAGCTCAGCTGGTAACGAATCTCCAACTCTAGACCAACATACAGTATTTACTACTGTATTTATGTGAATGGGGACATACCCATTATCGTCCGTAGGTATGCTACAACAATTATTTATCTCAATTTTCTTCTATATCCCTTTAGAGAAATTCAGGGAATTTATTCCTATTGTAACGAACGCTTGAAAATTGTAAGCAGATATTGGCTTTCGAAAAACCCTGTGATAAAGACAAAGAGGTTAAGATTAATGTTTATTTACGCTATTGCTCACCAATAGAAGGCTCAATAGCCACTAAAGCTAGAATGCTACTTAATGAAATGGTTTTATGGACGTAAAAATTGCAGATTATAAAGATAGATAACGGTTGACTCTAGACTTGAAGTGGTTAAGATTGTAGCGATTCCGGTCTGTCTCCCCACAAAACAGTGTCCTTTAGGAAGAAGCTGTCTGAACGAAAACTTTCTTCTTACTAACTGAATGCAAAAGGAATGAGTATGGTTTGACACTGTGTACATGGCTGTAAAGGTCTGAACACGAGGAACGAAGGAATGTAGTTTGTCAGAATATTTTCCACTGAAACGGCGATCGGATAGCAAGAGGAGCGAAACATTTTGTCTGTTGGAAAGAACTTGTAAAGTGGTAAATAGTTAGTCACCCACAAGGCTACGTAAACGCTTTCGAATTCTGCCGAGGCTGAAAACAGAAGCTTGAACAGCACCAGCCCATAAATGGTAACATTAATTATTCTATTTTTGGTCTGATCTCAAAGGATTACAGATAGAGTCAGGAACGTTTGTATCGATATAAGATGACAATCATTTTGCTTCCATTCGAGATTATATATATATATATTATTAATAAATATTATATAATATATATATAATATTTATATTATTATATTATATTATATAATAATATTATATTAATATATTAATAAGCTTACCTTATATATCAAGTATATGTTGCAGTTCAATTTATATTACAAGAATCATTCACACAAAAAACAGATATAGAAGTTAATGATATAAATGGCGAGAATACATCTACGCAAACAAATTTAATAAAATACATTAACCCCGAACCTGTAGATGAATGTTATGATCCCTGTTTATAAATTCCAGTTGCATAAGGTCTTTTTTAGTTTTTTTTACAAGCTTTCATTTATAAACAGGAATCTATAAATTGTAATTTATAAACAAGGATCATAACATTCATCTACAGGTTCGGGGTTAATGTACTTTATTAAATTTGTTTGCGAAGATGTATTCTCGCCATTTATATCATTAACTTCTATATCTGTTTTTTGTATGAATGATTCATGTAATATATATATGTACACGCATACACACAGTGCGATGGGTAAATTGTTGCAATTTTGTATTCTTAATTTCGCACATGAGCGTCATTTGTTTTTGAGTTTCTCGACGGTACAGTATAGCAGGCTCAGTTGCGAACCGTCTGTGAGAAAAAGAACGCCATGAAAACAATTCATCCCGCCAGAAAATCCAATACGAACATTTCAGAGTGTTTGGGTCTGAATCTGAGAACAGTGCAGAGGATTCGGGAAAAGTCGGATGAGTCTAATTGTGATAACGAAGGTACGACAGCCCGGAAAACTCACTGTGAACGTTCTGATAAGAAATGAACTCCCCAATTTATTTGGTAAGGGCCTTAGACTCAACACGAAAGCCTACCTCAAGTGTCTTGAGGAGAGAGTGCTGTCCTGAGTCAACAGGGTGGCAGCTGGAAGTTCCTATGTCTGGCAACAGGTTTCTGAACCATGTCACACGAGCAGGAGAAGCTAATCAACTCTTACATTTGACTACCTAACTCCCCAGACTGATTATTATGTGTGGGGCGCCGTTGAATGAGAGACCAACAAAACTCCTTGTAACACCAAAGATGAACTGAAGGCAAGAATTATGGCAGCATTCACCAACTTAAACAAGGACACTGCCCAGAAAAATTGCAGAAGATTCCGATGTCGTTTAGAGGCCGTGGTTGAAGTCAATGCCAATTTTATTGAATTAATTTACTCTTTCGTATTTATAGATATTTTGGTGAATAGATCTGTTAAAATGAGATGTCAGTGTTATTTTCATTTTTGTGTAAAATTTATCTATCGCACTCTGTATATATATATATGTGTGTGTGTGTGTGTGTGTGTGTGTGTGTGTGTGTGTGTGTGCGCGCGCGCGCGCGCGCGCATACGGCCCTAGCCCGTTGAAACACGGGCTCTCATTAGATCACCGAAGTTAAGCAACATTGAGCCTGGCCAATTCCTAGGTAGATGACCGCTTGGGAATATCAGGTGATGTAAACTTGGATGTGCGGATGGTGTAATGGGTAACGGCTCGGAATTGGAAATCGGGGAGGCGAGTTCCAATTCCTGTTGGGCTCTGTATATTCAGTTATATTTTCTGGATTTAAATAACCTGCAAAGTTTGATAAGTCGTAAAAACACACACACACACACATATATATATATATATATATATATATATATATGTGCGTGTGTGTTTGTAACTTAATCTTATTATCTTTATGAATATTTATTAATCTTACCTTTATCAGACACATGGTCATATTAAAGAGACTTATATATATATATATATATATATATATAATAAAAAGGCTTAAACACTAATATTCCATGGTCATAATTTATTCCATTGGAATCGTAAATACGATCCAAATCATCAGACCTACAAATTCAAAATGAAAACAGAAAAAAACAACTCCGGAAATCAAAACAGAATTTAGAGAAAGTGTAAGTATGAGGATGAGTGACAGAGAGAATTTTTTGGAGATGTGGGTGGGGTGGATTTAAAAGAGGAGAGAAAGAAAGTCGACGGATGTCTAATACAAAAAGATACATTTCGTGGTGACATATACACACCACAGACAATTCAGATAGGAAGGGAAAAAAAAAAAAAAGGAAGGGTGGGGGAGAGAGATGGGACGAAGGAAAATAAAATTGTGTTTACTTAAAGGGCCGCTTTGTAATTGGGAAAATTAGTATAGACTACAGGTTAAAATCAAATATAAATATATGAAGATGAATATAACGATTGTCTCATTTCGCAAGGACCAAATATTTCTATGTTCAAAAACACATACTAATACACATAAAAAAAAAAAAAAAACTATACAAGAAGGTACATACACTTAGGCATGTACTCACACACACACCCAGACATACGTGTACATACACATGCACATACATACACACATACACATATATATATATATATATATATATATATATATATATATATATATACACAAATATATATATATATATATATATATAAAAACCTAAAAATATATTCACATATCCACACATACACATATTCATCTATATTCATATACACACACTTTTCACATACATATACACGCATACATATGCCCCATGTATACATTCATACATACATACATACTTATACATACACATACATATACATATACATACCTATACATATATATATATATATATACATATACATACACACACATATACCCATACATCCACGCATATACACATACACACATACATATACACACATACATACATATATACACACATACATACATATACACACATATACACATACATATACACATGCCAATACATACACACCCTTACATATGTATATATATATACACATGCAAATACATACACACCCTTACACATGTATATATATATACATGCAAATACATATACATCCTTACACATGTATACATACACACATGCAAATACATACACACCCCTACACATGTATATATACACACTTATACACACACACATAAACAAGTATACACATAAGTACACATACACACCTATACATATACATACATAAACACCTCCATACGTACATATATACACACTTACATACATACACACATATACACATACATACATATACATACAAATATACACCCATGTACACACACACACAGATATACACATATGTACACATATATAAAAAAAGTTAAAATCTAAATAAGTGACGATTCAAATATTTGCGCGTGTATGAAAAAAAATAAATAAATAAAAACTTTTATATATATATATATACACATATATACATATCTACATACATATACATGCACATACATACACATACATATACATACATACATGCACACACATACACAAACATATATATATACATATAAATACATAGCGCATCACATAAACGTGCACAAAGGTACATTTAGAGATAAACATAATAGTCATACAATTAAAATGTCATGCCCGATGTTATAGGACCGAGATGGAGCCGACATAAGTGACAACATGTTACACAACGGTGTTCAAGTTTTGAAATGTTTCTTATGTCTACATTTAGAGAATATCTCATTCCGAAGATTCAGCAGCTCATCTCGATTTTTATCTTTGATAATGAAGATTTTTTCCGCCATGCATAGATCACACCGATCGCGGAAGTTATTAGGTGTTCTGGCTCTAGATAGGAATCTCCATTTCAAAATTGGGTTTAATCCCGCATCCACCAGTTCCCAGTAGTGTTTGGATAAGGAAGTCTGTCTACTGAGGCATCTATGTCTAAATGAGCGTCTATGGTTGTATAGACGCTGCTTCCAATCACCGGCGGATATATCTATGTATCTTTTTTTCTCGTTTATATTTCCCTCGGGAAAGATAGTTGCCTCGTATACTACATTTTCAGATTTGCATTTACCCCCGATTGGACAATGGTCTTTATTCCTACAATTGCAGGTAGGGTTACTAGATTGAGTTCCATTACCGTGGTAGTTTCTAAGTATTCTGCAATTATGGGAAGATATGATTTTCTCTATATTTCTGACGCATGAGTAACTAATTTTTAGAGTTTTCCTATTGAAAATTTTACGTAGTGGATGCTTACTGTGGAAATGTTTATCAATTAATTTCAGAAAGAAACTTCCTATATCAATGTTAGAGAGTCTGCAATATGGTGGGTTGAACCATATTACCTTCCTTTTCCTGTTTTTAGTTTTGCCCTTATTCTGATTTACAAGTTCACCATTAAAGCTTAATTCTTGTCTAAAACCACTATTTTTTAAGGCCTGATTGTATATAAATTTATTATCATTAAATATTTTCTGGCTAGAAGATAGCTTATTTATTCTCGTATTCACAGTTTTGGGGATGTGATCTATCACATGTTTAGGGTGGTTAGAGTGGACGTTGATGTATAGGGGTGTTTGATCAACTTTATGGAAGGGTTTAAAGGTATTATTCGATAGATTGAGTGTAATATCTAAAAAGTTGACTATTTTCAGGTTGGAAGATATTTCAATTTTAAGGTCTAAGTATTTGAAGGCCCTAATAATCTTCTTATGTAAGCTGGAAGTTAAGGGACCATTGCTATTTGGGACAATGATTAAGCCGTCATCTGTGTAATAATTAAAATAGCTCGGAAATGAGAAATCGGAGACTCGATTTCGAATTAAAGTTGACTTAGTTACGCGCAAGTATCCTTACGAAAAGCCTGAAATCCCAAGCTCTTGGGTTAAATAGTAGAACATGTATAAGGAAAATCATTGTTATTCTCAAAAAAAAAAAGAAAAAAAGAAAAGTGTTATGGCAATATTCACACGCAAAGAAAAAAGAAAAAGAAGATTTTCCTTACAATGCAAAATATATTTCGGTTTTAAATAACCCACAAAGTGTTGATAAACCGTAAAAAAATTAATCAATGCCTTAGTCTGTCAACGGGCCAAATTAATCGGAACTCCAATGTAGATCGGACATGCTATCCGATTAAATGATCTGTGAGACGAGTTTGATATGAGTCACTTAATTTCAAGAGGCTTTCCTAGATATTTCATAATTTTAGTTTATCCTGGCACAGGGCCATAGAAGTGAAGCACCCACAGATGAATCTTCCGAAAGAACTAAAAGATGTGCGTGTGTGTGATTATTTTCTTGATACGGTTTCCCATCAGTTTTCCCCAACACACACACACACACACAAAATCTCGTGGAAAAAATATTTTTTTATGTAGCCTTTGTGGAATATCATTGCCTTCAGGTAGATCACCAAAAGATCTAAGCATGAGAACTTTTTTTCTTTTTTTTTTTTAATTTGCCTCTCTTGTTATGCAGAGAGATTCCAAAAGAAAAAAAAAAAAGAAAAGAAAAAAGAAATAGAAAAAAAAAAGAAAAAGAAAAAAAGAATCTCCCATCGTAAAACAAATTACTACCCGGGGGAAAAGAACAGCTCAAAAATCCTGATAGGCCCTTCCACCGAGAAAACTTTTGAAGATGTTCGGCTGTGTCAGTCTGTTTAATAAGGTTAAGACTTACATAAAAGGGAGAGAGAGAGAGAGAAGAAAGATAGAGGGAGAAAGACAAGCTAGTGTAAGGGAGAAAGAGGAGAGAGAGGGAATAGAAGAGAGGGAGGAAGAGAGAGGGGGAAACGAAGAGAGAAAATGTCATAGAGGGAGACGAAGAAAGAAATTGGGGTAGAGGGAGACGAAGAGAGAAAGTGGGGGTAGACAGAGACGAAGAGAGAAAGTGGGGATAGACAGAGACGAAGAGAGAAAGTGGGGGTAGACAGAGACGAGAGAGAAAGTGGGTGTAGACAGAGACGAAGAGAGAAAGTGGGTGGGAGACGAAGACAGCAGACAGAGACGAAGAGAGAAAATGGGGGTAGACAGAGACGAAGAGAGAAAGTGGGGGTAGACAGAGACGAAGAGAGAAAGTGGGGGTAGACAGAGACGAAGAGAGAAAGTGGGGGTAGACAGAGACGAAGAGAGAAAGTGGGGGCAGACAGAGACGAAGAGAGAAAATGGGGGTAGACAGAGACGAAGAGAGAAAGTGGGGGTAGACAGAGACGAAGAGAGAAAGTGGGGGTAGACAGAGACGAAGAGAGAAAGTGGGGATAGACAGAGACGAAGAGAGAAAGTGGGGATAGACAGAGACGAAGAAAGAAAGTGGGTGTAGACAGAGACGAAGAGAGAAAGTGGGGGTAGACAGAGACGAAGAGAGAAAGTGGGGGCAGACAGAGACGAAGAGAGAAAATGGGGGTAGACAGAGACGAAGAGAGAAAGTTGGGGTAGACAGAGACGAGGAGAGAAAGTGGGGGCAGACAGAGACGAAGAGAGAAAATGGGGGTAGACAGAGACGAAGAGAGAAAGTGGGGGTAGACAGAGACGAAGAGAGAAAATGGGGAGAGACAGAGACGAAGAGAGGAAGTGGGGGTAGACAGAGACGAAGAGAGAAAATGGGGAGAGACAGAGACGAAGAGAGAAAATGGGGAGAGACAGAGACGAAGAGAGAAAGTGGGGAGAGACAGAGACGAAGAGAGGAAGTGGGGAGAGACAGAGACGAAGAGTGGAAATGGGTGCAGACAGAGATGAAGAGAGGAAGTGGAATAGAGGGAAGTAAAGAAGGGTAGAGGAGGACGTAGAGGAAAAAGAGAAATAGAAAAAGAGGAAGAGATAGATAAAAAGGAAGAGTGCGAGAGAGGGGAGATAAAGAGAAAGAGGGAGAAAAAATGAGGGAAAGAGTGTGTGAAGATAAAGATAATAGGAATAAAGAGAGAGAAAGAGTGAGAAGAACATAGGGCAGAAAGAGAGAGAGGGTGACTAATGGCCGAGAGAAAGCGGACAAAAGAGATGGAAAAGGGAGAGAAAAAGAAGAAAGAAAGAAAAAGGTATAAAAGATGGAGAGAGAGCAAAAAAATCAATTAGGACGAAATTAAAACCGATGCCACGAAGACGCAATTACATTGGCTTCTTTTGTTGCGCTGTTCGAAAGCAAACCATTAAAGTATTTTTATTACCAAAAAATCCAACCGATGAATTTGAAATATGAAAATGTCTAAAGAGTACTTTTTCTTTATACGTGATCATAAAAATATTGGGACGAGCACCTTTCTCTTTTTTTAGTTCTGGGTATGACGATAAACCTGATTCGGCAGCAAGGTCCCCGATCGGGAGATCGTAGGTTACGAGGAGCGTGGAACCATCTCTTAATTGCCCTGATTCCGGGAGGTAGCACCTGTTAGGGTCCCAGCCACAGGTAAACAATGAACCGCCAAACAAAAATCAACTGTACATTTTATAGCAAAATGACCAAGATATATTTTTAGTGCAAAATTACCAGCAATATATTTTTTTCTAAAAATACATATTTGTAGTGAAGTTAGCAGCAATATATTTTATAATCTACATGTTATGGGGTCCACCCCTTTTTCATACAAGCGGACTTGCCCAGTGTGTACTTGTACTGCTGCCGGTGAATAGCCGGGAGTGTAAGAGTAACGGAGATATACTGATAGAGAGATACAGTGAGAGAGTGAGGTAACTGCTTTGTAGGAGTCACAGTTGCGAGCACGTAGACTCAGAAGGAAGTCCTACTCCGATACTGAATTTCCCAGACTATATATATATATATATATATATATATATATATATATATATATATATATATATCTACTAACCGTATTACCAATTGTATTATTGCGTCAATACATTTATTTGCTATATTTCATTCCTGCGTTTGTCATTCATTTGAGACCGGATTTCATCTCGGAATCCACAACACTACAAACTATATATAAAACAAATACGTACCTTTTACGCTACAAGTATAAAATTTTGTTCAAAATATTTAGATTTCGGCATTAAATAACCCATAGAGGTGTTAATATGCCGCTAAACAAAATCAACAAACAGGTATAGGCAAAAAAGCTGAGTATCCTCTCCCATGTATTCAACTGTGAAAGCAGAATGACATTTCTTATTATTTCAAAGCTACCGAAAAAATTAAATTTCGACATTAAATGACCCATAAGGAGTTGATATACCGTTAAACAAACAAATCATTCAATGAGTCTTTAGCATGTCGTTTTAACTCTTGGGTTCATATATTTTTTTCTTCTTTCTTTTCTTTTTTTTTTTTAATCATTTCATTCCAGGCAAGGAAATAATGCCACTAGGATGCAGAGGGTTAAAGAGAGCGAAAGAGAATGAGTAGATTTTAGTGACGAGAAGCGAGGAAAATCACGATAAAGGAACAGGGTTCAGGAAGACAGAAGATGGCGATTGACGTTGCATTAACATTTCTGTAGGTTGTAGTTGGCAGGGAATCAAGAAACGGGAATCAAGTTCTAATGATGAGAAGTGCGAGGAAAATAGCGAAAATGTAGAACAGACGGTTGTATGCTGAAATCTAGTTGCCAATCTAGTTGCACGCTTAAATTCCCGCAGACGAGGCACTAAGGAGCAAAGCTCATCAGACCAATTGCCGCGAAAGTATTTGTAAATACAGAAAGAAGCAATGTCATGTCGGTGAGAAAGTGACTGAAGTCAAGATGTCAGGTCAGGATCGATTACATTACATACCCTTCTTTGAATTTTGTCAAGAATCTCCAGATATATGGTAGATGCACCAGACCTGATATGGCAGTAGTATTCAATGCACAGACGAATAGTAGGTGCAAGAAAGATTCTGACGCTAAGAATTGTCCGGCACGGCACCATGAACCAAATTTCTTAGTAGTAGACTAAGGAATTGAGTCAATATATTTGTTCCACTTCATCTCGCTCGCTTTCTTAATATTATCTTAAACTATGACATGACGTAATATCATTAATTGTTTTGCGAAGTTAAATCAACACACAACAAAGACGAGAAAGGTTTATAAATATAAAAAAAATATGTTAACTTTTCATTTTTTCGTGTTTTTACAAGTAAATTTTCCTCAGCGTGTTAAGGTTTCTTGTTTGTAGTTGTTTGTTAAGATAAAAAAAGAAGTGTAATTTCTTATCGTGCATTGTTAGAAAAAAGAGGCAATAGAGAAAGTCAGGAGGAAAGTATAAGTGTCACGTAGCTTGGAGAGGAAGATAAATGAATGAGTAAGGGAATTTCTGTTAAGTCGTGCGCGTCATAATCTGTTACCGTCATTATCTCCTCACTGTTGTGTCTGGTCTAGTAACTTTGTTCATAGATCCTGCAAAGTGATCGCTAAGCATGTTTTTTTTTTTTTTTTTTTAAATTGTCGGCGGGAAAACGACCTGTTGGTTAAAAAATGTAAAATATTTATTTTCAAAGGATCAATTAATTTATAAACCCATAGAATGCATGAATACTCTGACTCAGAAAACATTTTTTTGTCATTTGATGATTGATCGTCTTCGTGTTTATTTTCGTCTTAGTTCCACAAATTCATGAATTACCTGAGCCAGAATCCTTATCTCAGTTGCTTTTTGTTGTAACCTAGAAAAGGTTACTGAATGAGGAATAACCAAAACGGAGGTTGGAAATGAAATGGTAATCTTTATAACATCAACAAAACACAATACTCGCCAGCGGCGTGAAGTAGGTAAACCACTGCTAGTGGTGGACTACTAGACAGCATATTACCTCTACTTACAATAGTGTCCAACGTGTTTATGAGGATTGGGATATACCCATTAGTCTTCATAGGTACGGTATATAATACTTTTTATCATACCATATCGACTTGTAGACTTTCTGGGTATCCAAATTCTGGTTAAATATTTCGCCAAAATTAAGCTTTTTTTTTTCATCAGAAAATAAAGCATCATCATCACAAGGAAATACATTAGATGCTTAAATGATACAGTTGGTAATAGACAAGTTGGAATACTCCGATAAATTAGCAATCTTAACTGGGGATGATAGCTATATCAAGGTGAAAAGGGATCCAACATTGATAACTTAGAGGAAGCTGTCACAGATGCTCAATAACAAGCACTAGTTCAGACTGAATCAACGGTTAACTCAGTGTCACACCACTCTGCCCCATGTATACGGGAGAAAATAAGACGAGATATCCTGAGACATGGTCATCGGAACGATAACATTTTACCCCTATAGATTTTATACAATATTCATTTCCGAAGGTTATCCGGGTTGGCTAGCACCGGATGAAGTTCGTAGCGCAAAACGAACGAAACGTTGTGATAATAATAATCTATCTACGTAGATTAAATAAAAAAATAGTTCGAATTCTCCTGGAAGTTGTCCGGATCAACAAAAACCTGACGATGGGTATAATATAATGAATATCATTGGATATAAGGGCTAATCATAATGACAGTATAATTATATTGTTTTAAGTTATGAATGTAGACATTATAAATATCCTTGGATGAAACGTTTGTGATAGAAACTAGTATAACGTAGGATACAGTGTCTCAGAGCAGAAAAACTAAATCTAATGGTAGAGGATATATGCTATTTCTCGATTATTCAAAATGAGCCAAAATATCTTGTGTACCATTATTTTTGGGGGGGTAAGCCTGTGTAAATAAATACTGATTTTCAAGATCTCCCATCTTATAAAATATTGGCATAAAATCTTCCTAAACATTCTGATCGATTTGGCCTTGTGGTAGACTAGAAGTGGCTTTATAAATATATCGAGTAGAATAAGTCGAAAACGTTGATGCAAACAGGAAACACTCAGTTTTCCAATAGAACGCCGAATACAAATGGACGAATCCTCGGCAGTGATGTTATGAAAATGTCAAACAACTTTGAAAAGGTGACTGTTTAGACAAGGCATTTTCTCTCGGATTGAAAGTAAATTTGCAGTCGGAGTAAGTAAACATTACTGCACCGTTATGACGTCCCAGTGGCTGTTTATCCAATAGTGACCGTATTGCAAAAATACTTTCTTTATTGTTAAGATGCTACTGTTCAAATTGGAAAGATTGCAATGAGCAAATATAAAAAAAAATGTACATATATTGAGTTCATAACTTAAAAAAAAAAGAAATCTTTGACAGCTCGTACCTCCAACACAGAGACGAAGGATTCCTACTGTACTATGAGTCTCGTTCTTCAAAAGGAATTTTTCAAACTAAATAATATTCTATCAACGGAAGAATATATATATATATATATATGTGTGTGTGTGTGTGTGTGTGCTTGGTATAACACGAAGTTTGTCCAAATCTTGTAACTGCATGGGATAACTGTCCATCCCACAAAATGTTTAATATATATATATATATATATATATATATATATATATATATATATATATATATATATAAACTAAACTAATTGAGTTTCTTTTTTTTTCAGATGTTGAGCCACCTTGACACCATTTGTTGTAAGAATAACTGAAAAACCCATTGAGTTATTCAGCTAGAAAAAGAAAAGATTAAAATCGTTTTGTGCCATCCCCACTATGTCTTCCCAACTGAGCAATGATGAGAGGAAAAAGATCATTCAGGCCTTCATTCATATTCAATGCTTCCATTTTCAAAGTCCATTCAAGAACCATCAAGAGAACGGTGAACAAATTTAAGAGGAAACAGTAGAGAGAAAAACTGGACCAGGAGGTCA